CTCCTCACACTTCGTTCTTGACTTTTCATCTCACTACTCCGTCTCCCGCGCGATGTTCATATACAGTTGAAATTTGTAAAACTTATCATGTGGGGTTATCCGGTCCTTTTATTCTAATTCAGCTGAAATTCTAATTCAATTCTACTAGACGCGCTGAAGCCTGTGCCAAATTTTTGTAAACTGGTCGACTTCTACCAGGTTTGAAGTCGCGCTTTACCCACTTCATCGACTTTGAGGATTGGACAACCGAAGATTGCCTTCATTTGTTCAAAAAGCGAGCGCTTGGGCTTGAACTAATGTTTTCAGAATAGACCGTGGCTGCCAAGATAAACTATGGCCAGACCCACTGCGATGGCCCAGGCAAAAGGTGAGAACTTCAGATTAGAAGCTGCTGCAGATATGGAACTGCAGGACTGTCTTACATGGATTATGTGTCACCCAGCTGCTTTGTCGCGCAGAAACCATGTGTCTCCACTGGGGGTGAACACAAGGTGCTCACATTGGGAACACTAAGCGGGGTAGGGCCAATCAAGAAAGGCCAAGGGTCCAAGACATCGCATCAGCGGTTCCTTTGACCTTCACAAGTTAGTTGTTAGTTGTTTGTTCAATGCACCTAGGACTACCCCAATACTAAACTAGTTTAAAACCTGAATTCCACATGTACATCAGCCTAATATTTTTCCCAAAAGCATTTGCGATGCTTGGGTTCTCGTTTAGTCGCTAGTGCCGCGGAAGAGCGAGACAAAGCGTGCGTTGTCGGGGACGGAAGATGGATGTGGAGGTGGATGGGGTTGGGAAGGGAAGAGGGAGGGGAAGGAAGGCAGGGGAGCGAGACGGGAGGTGCATGGGTGGGGACGGGGCTGGGGAGGGAAGATGGAGGGGAGCGAGATGGGAGGCGCACGGGTGGGACCAAGCATCATTGCAGGCTGCTCCGGGTCAGTGCACAAGTAGAACGAAGCATGGGTGGGGGTAGTGCTGCTCCACGCTTCGCGGAAGCATGTTGGGAGGTGAGTGGAGCTGTGTTGCGGGGCTGATACGTTGGTGTTGGGTGTCCAAAATGTGCACAATGCATGCGCCAGACGGTCAAGTCATGGCCAACACGGCAGGACTGTTGCGTGCCAAAAGCGCAATGCGTGAAATTGGATGGTTGGAACGAACCATGGAGGGGGCTGACGCTGCTCCATGCTTCCTGGAACGGTTGTCAGAAGCCATGTTGCCATCGTCTTATGACCGTTTTGGAAGGCTTTCAAAACTGACCAAGGGGTGGACGGGGGTGTATATGGCAGACAGGGGTGGACGGATGCGCACCAGAACCGCGATGCTTGAAATATCATGGTTGCCGGAGGGGGGTGATGCTTCGTTTTGGCCTGCTAATGTGCGTTTGTTTATTTTTCCTGGGTTGCGCGCTTCTTTTTGCTTTTGGGTCCGCGGGCTCACCTTGTTTTTTTCTTTGCAAAATCTTCCCCTTAGTAATCAAGCCCATCTGCCCCTAGAAAATTTGGATTAATTCATTAGTATATTGTTTAAAGCTGTAATCTGAGCTGCCAATGTTCTCCCCAGCAATCTTTGTCCACAATCCCTAAAAACCTCTCTAACAAAATTCTGTATTTTCCCTGATTAAAATTCTATCAAGATCTTTATGTTTTCTAGCTCACAAAGAGTACCCTCTCACAGGCCTCAGTGTTCACGCAGAATCCTATCAACCATCATCTATCATCAGGTCATCACCTTTACTAACAGGATATGGTCTCCAATCCCTTCAATCTCAAACCTTATTGACCTTGTTGTTGACCTGATTCGTCCTACGTGTGCATGTATAATTTATGTGATTCTGATTTGTTCTATCTTGTTTCCTGTGTTCTTCATTCAGGAAGGTTTTTCAGCTTTGCGTCGCTTGGATGGCTGGGGAAACGCTCGCGACGTGGACAAAGTTTGGAAAGCCTCGCTGCAACAGAGGGCCGACCGCGTGGTACACGAATCCGAAGGCGGGTGCGTCACACAGGATTCTAGTTGCTCGGTTGTCTGAAGGCATAGAAAAGACAAGAATAGAGAAGATAAGAAAGAAGTGTCTCTGTCAGAAGATCTTTTCAGGTTTTGTTTGTTCTATTTTGCGACCTGCCTTTGCTACCAAGCACACTTTCTTTAAGTAGTTTTTTAGATGGGGCAAAGGCTTTGTTGGTCCGTCCATGTTTTCTTGCAACCAAGTACGGTCGATAGACATCCCTTTGGATCTTTCTGGTTGCAGCTGGCAGGCTTGGAGAAGACGATTCAAGCGCGCGATGTGAAGCCCGCCTTAGAAACATTGCTGGAAGCTCGCCGCGTGAAAGCGGCTCCAACCATGCCAAGCTTCAGCTGGGAGCATTTGCCAATGAAGCTGCCTGAGCCACGATGTCAAGAGAACCTTAGCGACGTGGGAGTTTCAACCGAGACAGACCCATAGAATGGTATCCAACCTACTGGCGATGGCCTCCATCCTAGTAGCGATGGCCTCCAACCCAATGCATGTCAACTATGTTCAATGTTGGTGACGGTTGATTTGAGGACCCCTGTGCAGAAGCAGGCTTTCAAGGAGCAATTGGCAAAAGAGACAGAGGTGCAGCCCAATGAGGATGAGGATGCACGGGATGCTGGAATCAGCGATGAAACTTGGGCGAACCTTCAACGGGCCAAAGAAGCGGCTCGGCAAAAGCCTACTGCGCCCGTTCTCAAGGGACCGTCATTGATCACTTCCCCCGGTATTTCTTTTTTCGCGCGCACAGGGGGGTAGGCCTCTAGTAGGGAGAGGTAGCTAGTACCTACATACAAGTAAGCTACTAACTACTGGACGCAGGATAGCTCACGCACTAATGATTTGGTTTCTAGATTTTTAGGAAAACTTAGCTGTGTTTGGTAGTGCTTTTGGCAAAGGCGTTTGCGCAACAAGAAGAAAGCTGGGCAAGAAAGCTGCGAGAGATGGAGGTGAAGATTTGCTTAGAGGGCCAGTTTAGCTCCAAAGTCTGTCAACCTTAAAGCAAGCAATTTGTGAAGGAGCGAGCAAAGGAAGAAGAGGCGCGAAGAGAAGAGGACCAGATTCATAAAGTTTCATTCAGTTCTTGACTCCACAAACTCTACAATGACTCTACAAGCTGCTGAATGAACTTCGCATCCGAAGGAGTTAAGGAAAGAGATGGAGGAGAATCTCAAGCGCCTTGCAGAGGAGGTGGAGCAGGTGCCCCATTTTGCGTCAACAAAAATGCTTAAAGGAATCAGGCCAGTGAAGCCGCTCATTGTGCACAAGAATTGTTTATAATGTTTGGTTGAAAGAATGGGCTGAGGCCATGTGTTTAATTGTTTGGTTTACGACAACTTTGTTCGACTGGGGCCGATGCTTCTTTGTCACGCCTTGGTCTTAGCCTGAGGCACGGCTTGAGGAGGAAAGGCTGCGACTTCAGGTGGATGGGTGTTGGCGGTGGCAGCCTGTCGTGGAGTTCGGAGAAGAATCGTTGCCTTGTTGCGGCTGCAGAAACTGCTGGGGGAGGTGGACTTGGAAAAAGTGGCAGGGCTGCGCCAACAAGAAAAAGTAGCCAGGGGCAGTAGTCTTTGGAGGCCTTTGACAAAAATTAACATGTTCCAGGGATAGAAGGAGCCAAGAGTTGTGGAGCATTTTGAGGAAAGAAAGTAAGAGTTGCCACAAATATTTGGGAGCTTGTTGCCAGGCAACAAGCCTACGCAGAGTTTAGGGCAGCCGCGAACGGTTTACACTTGAGAGCGCACAGGCGGAGCTTGAAAAGCGTTTGGAAGAAGAAAGGAGGGAACGTGAGCGACTCCGCCTGGAGGCAGGGGCCATCTGAGAAGGGATATTTGACTTCTTGCTACTTGTAGCAAGCTGCTAATTCGGGGTTGATGGTCGTGGCTCGCACGCTAATTGGCTAGGAGCTTCGACGAATACGCGAAGAGCAAGCCCGGCAGCAAGCCATTCGAGAGAAACTCCGGCAGATAAGTCCATGTCCGGCTGGCTTCCACTGGCCGCTCAGCGTCGTTTGCACGAAACACTCGGCAAGACGCAACGCCAGAATCACTCAGCGAGGTTCAAGATGTCGGGTGGATGGAGGTGTGGTGGCGGATCGCATTTTGTCTCAGATGAGCAGCCACCTGGAGTGCACTGTGGAGCCCACTGCTTCATTTGGAGCTTGACTTTTGGTTTCAGCCTGTCCAAGGTTGCAGAGACAGTTTACTCATTGAGACGTGGTTTTGTGCTCGAGGACGCGTTTGGCACGCTCCTTGGGCAGTTAGTTATTAGATGGGACCATCTTCGTGGAGGTCTCAGGCCAATTTAGATTTAGATCGAATTGAATTGAAGCAGCGCGCGCAAAAGGCCCTTGGTACCCCCAAATGGGGCCCAAGAGGACGTCCCAGGACAGGCACATTGCTCCTTCAACTCGGCAAATCATTGAATTGATTCGTATTTTGCATTTAAAGTTTTTAAGCCCGATCGAATCAAATATTTTTGATGTTCCGTGTTCTATTTTGGATTTACATAAAAAGATGTTCCACAAACAGTGTGGACACACTAGGGGTTCGTACAGCAGTGGTTGAGCACCGGTGTTTAATTCGAGGTCTTGCGCACCCGTGTCCGGCTAATTCGCTGCTATTTACAGTACATTAACGCTTAATCCTCGAAGTGCGTTTCGACTGGTGGGCTGCGGTGGGCGCTTGTCCTGACTGCGCTCTCGTTGTGGCGACGCGCGTGTTTTTAGATATGATGTTCATTTTTATTAAATTTTCAAATATAATTTCAATTAAGTATATTTTAGTTAAAATTAATTAAAATACCTTAATTCTATGAATAAAATAAATCGATATTTATATATATATATAGATAAAAACTATGTTAAGTATAATTATTATCTATATTGTTAATATAAAATATTTGGGTCTATTTATTTTTATTAAGCGCTATTTTAGCCTCGAGTTCCGGTAATTATTTCTTTGTAGTTTTTCTCACTATTTTTTTTCGTTTTGTGTTCTGGATTCTTGGCTTTTTACATTATAGATGATTGACTCTATCTGACTATATTTTTGTTTGATAGGATTGAGGTTGGCTTTTTTGGTCCTAACTTTAGGGCTTATGGATGTTAACGTATCGCTATTTATATCGAGCGGTATTATGGGTGGCGTAAGGATTGTCCGGGATTTTTCACTCCCGAATGAAAGTGGGAATCTCTTTTTTATTCTATAGTAGACTTTTTTTACGAAGCTTTAGGAGGGAGGTTATGGCTTTGTAATTTCCCGGCCGCGCATTATTTATATTAAACGATTATATAGATGCGCTTGTTTCCGTGCCTTGTAATATGGTTACACGCTTTATCGAAAAGATTACCTCTTTGCTACAGATGTGCTATGGCGTTTTCGAGAAGCCCATAGACGCCTCTAGTAAAAGAAGTTGAAGGATCGGACGCTATATTCGGCATTCGTTATATGATTTGGAATGTTTCGCCATTATATTCATTCTTCGACGAAATATACTGCTATTTTGGTGTTTATTCGTTGTATCCTTGGTGCTAGGATGTGGAATCCCCGCAAATAGGCTCTGGCCGTTCGAGGACGTAGCATTCGCGATCTTTTTGAGAGTTGGGTTCCTATTATCACCTTCCGAACCATCCACAAAGCCATTCTTAAATAGAGCCGATAGAATAAAAGGAACAAATTGCAAAAGATTTCGCTTTTTATGGACGCATTTTTGATTGGTATAGGAAGATTAGGCTCCTCTGTCCGAAATAGAGGTCGAAACGAATTTAGCTCTTTGATACTCATGGTATGCTTTTAATACCGAGATAGGAGTTAGAATTTATCGAAAGGTATTATACCCACCTATATACTGATCCGAAGTTTGATATCCGGGAACTCGAACCTCTTACCCGACTTCCCTTCGACCGCTAGGATGTGCTCATTGAGCTTTTGCATCTGCTAAGCACCAAAGCCCGGCACCAAATGGACTGCTAGCATTGATCTGGAAGTATTTCGCGCATGATCTTGTTGATCCTTTAATGCATTAGATTCAGCAGGTTTGGCTTCGCTATCCCGTAAACCTTCCAGATTATTGGACAATAGGATGAATTCACCTCCTTACTAAACCCATTAAATCCCCCAGCAAATCATAGGCACTTAGACCGATCTGTCTTCAGCACCCGGTCAACAAGATTCTTGCCGGAATCCAATGTAGGCAGATAATCTTGCAGACGTATGATAGACTTAGATATCTTCCATTCTATGCGTATTTGCCTCACAAAGGGACCCGTGAATGTCTACTCATCGTAGTCGAACATTGTCGAAGTGTATGCATGATGTGTAAGGATGTCAAAATTGGTCCTCAGCCTAAGTTGTTCGGAGGCCTCTAGGTTTCATTAGATATGGAAAAGGCATTTGATACGGTAAGTCGCACCCTTGTGTTCCGAGCCTTGAAGATGAATAATTTGGACCTTGACCTCTTTTAACTTGTGCATTCGTGACTCACCCCCCACAAGTCTGTATTCCCCTCAAACAATTGATCGGACAAATCCAAGAACATCGGGGAATCAAACAGGGAGCCAAAGATGCCCCCTTACTGTGGGCACTCACCATGAGCCTCGTACTAGTTGATCTCCAAAGCAAGTACTCCCACCAATGGCTTCATGAGCACATGGTCGTCGACGCAGATGACATCCACCTCAGGTGGCTAATTCGATCGACAGCCCAAGCCCTTGAAGCACTCACCGACCTTCAACATGTATTGATGACCCTTCAAGCCTTTGGGTTCATTATTAACCTTCAAAAGTCCGTTGCTATGCTACGACTCCAAGGGCAAGAAGCACTGGCCCTGTCCTGAATCTGCTAGAACGTCGCTGGCAACTACCGCTCGTGTCGAAAACAGCGTACTTTGGAGTCATCATAGGTTATTGAGCATGGGATGCAGACACTATTGTACGTAGGATCATTGCCGCCAAATGGCGCTTCCGCAATCTCAGGTCCTGGCTTGTGAGTGATATTCACCCCATTCGAATCAGACTCAAATTATACAAGTAATGTGTTTTGGCCACGGTTCAATATGGCATTCACGAGATGGAATTGACTCAAAAGGGATTTCGACAAGTCATCAGCATGATCAACACACATCACCGGTCGATTGCCCACTCACCTGTATGTGTCACTCACGAATCCACGGCACATTTCTTTGAACGCATTCGTGAACCACCTCCATGGACAACCATCCTCACTCAACGACGGCGGATTGATTGATGTATGTATTTTGGTGAAATTTGATGTATTTAATGGTAATGGATTTAAATTTAAGATTGTTTAATGATAATTAACGTATATTTTGATGTTAGAAATTGCATTTTTTAGAGAAGATGGAAATAGGAATAGGTAGGATTTTATTTTAGGAAGTTTAAATTGATGTTAATTTGATTTTTTTTAAGTAGTTATTTTTATTTTGGTTTTTGATTTATACGGAAAATAGTTTGTTGTTTTGTTTATTATGTTTATGGTTTTTTTAAACATGCGTTTTTTATATGGTGAATGAATATATATATGATATGTTATATATTTTATATTTATAAAATATATTTTTTTTGTTTTTTATACGAATTATATACGAATTCGGATTTTTGATATATTTATTTAAAAAAATATATTATATACCATTTATAATTGCCAAAAATGATATATAATTCGGAAAAATATCGAAATAATGCGATACGTAAATAAAGCATTAATTAGTATACGAATTTATTGTTATCTATATTATATTTATATTTTTTTTTTTATATAATATAAGTTAATTCGATCGAATTTAAATACTTTAAATTTAGAAAATTAATTAATTTAATAATTAGCGACAATAAAAAATAAATTATTCGAAATTTAATTTTTTAATATATGTAATTATATATATTTTCTTCGATTGTGTAGGCTTGCGAAATTTATTGTGTTGCGATGGATGTTTTTGGTCTTATATTTATGTAATATGTGTTGATTATGTTTTTATTGTGGTAACGTGTTTATTTTTGTATTGATAAATTTTAAATTATGAATTAAAGTAATTTTTTAAAAAATACATAATTATGAAATTTATTTGTAATATTTTAGTGTAATAAATTTAAATTTTATATATAAATATTTAAATATATAATCATATATATAATTTTTATATTTTATTTAAATATATTTTTTATATATTAATAGTTATTAATTTAAATAAATATGGGTATATAAAATAAATTGAAATGATATTAGGATTTTAATTGCTTTGGAGGTTTTGATCGATAGATGTAAATTGTAAAATATGTAGTCGTATATATTTTGGGTTTCTTTTTAAAAAGCCTTTAAAAGGATTATAAATAAATATTTAAAATTAGATATAATTTATTGTGGATCTATATAGAAAATCGATATTATATATTTTTGCCTTGGAACCGATATAGGATTTTATTGTAATGATTATGCCATTATAAAAAAAATCGATATATAATTATATGGATAATCGGAAATATTATCAAAAATTACCCTCTTTATTATTATAAAATGTTTGGATGATGAATAATTATCCGGACATCGTTATAATATATCTGGGATACCATCGCATTGCAACCGGGACAGCAGCATTACATCAAAACTAGCGACCGGGACATTGTTATGACACAACTTACATTCTCACGACACCGGCGTAATATGCCGCAACACGGTTGTAACGTGACTATGGCATGCCCAGGCCACAGTCGCAAGCATAATACTATCATAATGGAATCGGGACACAATTGCATATGACCCCAACACCTTTGTAAATGAGCCTAGGATACTGTTGCGATGGGAAACCAATGCTGGAATACCATCATGATATCCGAACGCAAAAACGAATCAAGAAAAATGGATGAAGGGTTGGTGATGAACACCAAAGAGTCATTAAAGGATTAAGCAAAGGAAATGACAAAGAAATTCAAGAACTTACGACCTTGTGATAAGACACCGGAAGGAAGCCGATCTGGTTTTTTTTGGCGTGAACGTTGAGATGTGTCCCCAAATTTCGCTTTAACAAGATATGTGTTCTCTTTGCTGAAAGAATTGCGAAGGGTTTTTCCAGAAAATCCTTTGATCATTGACATTTCGACAATTACACTTACACTGACACTTCCACCACACTTCCACTGCAACATGAACACCATACGTACCCCAATATAAGTCGAAGAGCAAAGCATCCAAGTGCAAAGTATGCAAGTGTTAAATCATGCAAGTGTAATGACTCAAATGCGATGATGAGTTTGGAAAACTGCCACAAGAGATGTCCCAAAGCACGGGAGATGTCCTCATGAACGATTTGCCGGCTGCGGGCGCAACCCTCTGCGGAGATCGTGCGTGTTAAGTGCCCGAAATGCAGGCGAGAGCGCGTGGTAAGGGGGGAAGCAGTGTGCACG